ACGGTTATCGGGGGAAGTAGGGGAAGGGGTAGACCTAGGAAGAATTGGAAGGAGGTGATTAGGCAGGATTTAGGACTTCTCACCCTGACTGAGGATATGGCTTTAGATAGGAACCTTTGGCGGACTAGGATTAAAGTAGCTGGTTAGGAGCGCGGTGCTGCAGAGGTTTTTTGTAGTGTGTTGTGTTTGATTGGAATCTTCTACTTTTGCTTGCTGGACTTTCATTTCATTGTACTTGGTGCTTTATCCTGTTATATCCTGTTATATCCTGTTTCCCTGTTATATTGTGTTCTCTACCATATTTTTGTGCAGGTTGAGCCGGGGGTCTCTTGGAAACAGCCTCCCTACTTCCGAGTAGGGGCAAGGTCTGCGTACACACACCCTCCCCAGACCCTACTGTAGTGGGATTCAACTGGGTTGTTGTTGTTGTTGTATATAAAATTGTCCTGTCTGAGAAGATCCATTTAGATGAACCTACTAGATACACATATTTCTAATTGAGTAAGATAATGGCCAAAAATTCTTTAAGAAGCTGGAAATTGAAAAAACAAACCTCCAATAAAGTAATTTGGAATGTTGTGTGAGTTTTAAATCACAAGAAAACCATAAGGGAGGGTTAATAATATCCAGATTCCATAGTCCCCTTTCAAGTCCAAACACAATAGCTGATTTCTAATTGAATATTATTTCACAAATTGTAAAATTCCAATTACATATTGAAGATGTGAAGCAGAAAATCTGAGCTTCAATGGCAAGATATTTCCATCCCTTATCTTTGTCCTTCGGTTATATCTAATCTGTATCCCTCCTCTTCCATGGTTTTGACGTCAAGGTGTTGAATGACCTGTAATACGATGCATCTCTAAAGGAAGAAGACCCTTGAATATGCTTTTGTTCCAGGCTCCCTCATTATTCTACGCATGACAGTTACTGCGAGAAGCCATCGGGTTAGGGGACACCACTCGCTAGAAAAACATAGAAGTACGGATCGGAGTACCAAATTTCATAGCGAGAATTAACTACTTTCGAAATAAAAAAAATCAATAAATTCATAGAAATACACACCACATCCAAATTATGCGAACAATCAAATGGTCTAAAAGTAAAAGGGAAGTATATATCTCAATTGGGCGACAAATAAGAGGAAGATAATAATTCGCAGTAAGGATCAGAGAAATTACTAAGGCCGGATGAACGCGAGGCGTTGAACTCATGGTGAACGAATGAGATGCCTTGAACTCTGGGCAAGCAAACGAGATGCGCTGAATTCAGGCTAAAAGAACGAAACGCACTGATCCAGGGATGGCAAGTGAACGAGATGCGCTGAATCCAGGTTGAGATCTATTCCGAAAGCTGAGATATATTCTAGGTTTAATTGGAATTGGAAATTTAGAAGTAAATTGGATTTTTTTTGATGTGTCAAAAACAAAAGAGGAGTGCTAGGGGTACACCATTTGGGGTACCCCATTTGTACACCACCCACTTCTCCACCACCCATTTTTATTTTATATTTATTTATTTATTTATTTTTTAATTTCTTGCCTTTTTTGTGTGGACAAGGAGGGGGTGGGGGATAAATGGGGTACACATTTGGTGTATGTGGGTAATGGGTACCTAAAATAAATACAACATTTATAAGAGTGGGGATTCACAAATGTGTTGCGGATAATTAAATTATTTTCCACACTTAGATATGTGTGATTAATTAAGTGTGGCTAAAGACTAATTTTCTTGTAGTGCCGGAATATATATATATATATATATATATATATATATATATATATATATATATATATATATATATATATATACCCGAAAGGAAACCACCAAAATCGGTGGGGTAGGGCCCAGGCATCCTTATAGATTAAAGAGGAGAATGTACAAGTAGTGAGTTGGGTTAAAACTCAACACAGCCCAAAAACACAAATGAAGAGCAAAATACAGTCCAAAAACAAAAAACGTGTTATTGCGCCTTCATCTTCAACCTTCAACCGTCGAACTCTGAATCAACTCAAGGGAGACGTTCTTCATCGACTAAGGTAAGCTTTCAGGTTCAACGCTTCAATTTCTTCCCTAGCCGCAATTTTCTGTGCTTTTTTGTTAGACCAGTACCAGTGTTGGACAAGTTTCTGAATTTCGATATTGAGACTTATCTTAGATGGTTTTTGTCATATAGGCATCTGTTATATGTCTTCCAAAGTGTCTATATAATGCATCCTGGTAAAATCAGTTTAAGTAGGCCTTGAAGTGAATTCTTGTTGTGACTAGCCCACTATTCCAAAAGGTGTTCTTTCATATCACTCCCTCTTCTCCATTTAGGGCCACCAGAGTATTCAGCAAAATCATTCCAAATTGTAACAGAAAAATCACAGCTCAGTAATGTGTGTTCATCAGTAGCCTCATGTTTATTGCAGAAGTTGCATTTGCTAGGCAGATTGAATGATAGTTTGTTAAGAACATTAGGAAAGGGAAGGTAATGGTTGACTGCTTTCCAAGTGAAAAGTTTAACCTTAGGAATTTGAAATTTGTTCCAGGAGAGAGTGTTAAACTGAGTACTAATATCCCTTTCTCTAACTGCCTAGTAAGCTTCCTTGAAAGTAAAGGTCCCATTTACCCATGTGATATCATTCTCTTGCATATTAGAATGCTGAAAACCCAGAGGTGCAATTCTACATATTCTTTTCCAGGATGCAATGTCATATACCTTTGCTTCAAAAAGACCATCCCTGTAGTAATTATTCCTCACAAACTGTGCCCAAATTGTGTCACCAGTGAAGGCCTTCCACCAAAGCTTTAGGGCAGAAGCTCTTTGAATATCAAATAAGCTTCTGATTCCAAGTCCACCTTCTCCCGTAGGTCTGCAAAGAGAAACCCACTTGCCCAATGATGCTTGTTCTTTCTAAATTTAAAACCCCAAAAGAAGTTGGCTAACTAAGAATGGATCAGGTTGATGACAGATAAAGGGAGGTCTTGCATGCATGCATGCACGCATTCATACATCCATACATACATACATGCATGCATGCATGCATGCATGCATGCATACATACATACATACATACATACATACACACATACATACATACATATACATATATATTCAAATGAGAATGGGGAGCTTAATCATCTCTCGAGTCACCAGCTATCTTCAACAAAATTTCTCCTTATGAAATCCCAAAACCGCCTTGAATACAGCTTGGGATTAGTGCTCATGGTGAGCTCCGAGAATTGACATATTGTTTATTTATGTGCTCCAAATGCTGAGCACTAATATGAACACATCAATTTTCGGAGCACCAACATGAATATAGAAAAATTTTGGGAGCATTAATGTCATTTATTGAATCGCAGAATATTTATGTAAACTCATGCAGTTCTAAAAGTATTGATATGAATTATTCCAAAATTATATTATAATAAGAATATTTTATTTTATTTTATTTTATTAAATGATTAATGAAAATCACACGCAAATAAAAGTTATCAAATACTCCCTCCGTCCCCCATAGATCTTCCCGATAACCCTTTTTCTTTGTCCACAATAGATATTCTCATTTCATTTTTTAACAATTAAAATACCACAACTACCCCCACTTACTTTATTTATTACACCTCACCCACCTCATTTAATACACTCCACCCTTTTTTCATTAAGGATATTATGGTAAATTTTCATTCTTTTTCAACTCTCCTTAAAAATCACCAAAAGTCAAAATGAGAACATCTTAGGGGGACGGAGGGAGTACCTAAAATTGTAAACAGGAAATGTATTTTGGCAACGGAGGGAGTCCGAGGTACTCCTATGTACCATTGGAAATTTTGAACTTCATTTAGCACCACAATTCAAAAAGTTAAAAAGCATGTTGTTGAGAGAAGAAAATATGTTATAAGGAAACCAAAGAAGCCAAATACGATAGATGGAGTAAATTATAGGAGTACATCAGAATACGCTTTGATAGTATATAAATACTCCGTAAGAGTCTTATTATGTTAAATTTCACACTAAAATGCATATACCATCAATATGCATGCATTTTGCATCAGTAATCAAACAATGAAAAGGTAGAGCTGAAAACATGTTACGTGCCTACATGCTGTACAATAACATTATTAAATGCCCCTCAACTTTTTTTTCCTTCTTTTGTTGGGAATTCTATCTCTGTGAGACCTATTAACTGAAATCTTCACATCCCCCAGTCAACAAAATCTTTACTCAAGAATAGCAGAACAATCTTCCTTTACCCCCTTCACCATGCAATGTACAGGTAACCTATTTTTCTCACCTACGTTTGGATGACAAAATAAAGCCATGTGGGGACTACCCCAAAAAAGAATCACACCTTTGCCAACAGCCCCAACCCAAAGAGTGTTCCATACTCTTGCAAATCATATGAGCACTGCAGCAGCCAGTTTTATGGGGTTCTTCTATCATCCACGAGTAAATCAT